TTTTTTTTCAGGAAATCCCTTTTTAATAATTCCACATACGCTTATTCGACTGGAAAAAGACTTCATACAAACATCTATCATAGTTTTCCATTTTTTCGCTTTCATATAAAGTAAAGCCAACTTGTAATCCCATATCAACTAACGTTGACCTGTGCCTCGGCTGCAAGGAGGCTCGCTGATTTGTTCATTATGCTTGTGGTGTTACAGAGAGGATCATGACATTTCAAGATAACTTCATTCTGATTTATGACGCTCTTTCCGAGCGATTATCATTGCCTAATTTGACATCAAGACAACTGTGGTATCTCAAAATTGAACATCCTTCAATTAAGATTTGAGAATACCATGACACCCTAAGAATTTGCATTCCTTAGTTTTAAAACTTGCTTTTCAAAAGTGACTCTTATAGTTGCTTGCATGATTGAATCTGACATCTCCTGATGATCCTCAGAGTTTCAGGGGGTTATCAGTTTAAAGCTTCAATATATTAGAAAGGCTTAGACGATATCGAAAGCAAAGGCGGTGAGCTTATCAAATTGGATGTCAAAAATTGTTGAAAACAGATTTAGCATCGAACATGAACGTAATTACTAACCCATCCGTAACGATCTTAATGCGGCGCCATCCTTCGAAGGTGCATGGCGGTTTTCTATAACGGTGGTGGCTGCTGTCGTTTCTCTTGTCATAGACACTTATGTTGATTGCTTACAGTACTTAAGATTTTATAACATACACCTATTGTAAGCGAAGGAGGCCATTTTTGACCCTACGAAATGAACCATTGTGGCCTGAGAATGATGGAAATAAAGATTAGAGACCGACAATAGCTACATTTTATAGTGTTGTGATATGGTAGAACTGATAGTGCTGGATAACAGTGGCTTCATGATTTTCCAGCACACGGTGCTTCTTAGCCTCTGCATGACTATGGACATCTGATCAAAGAAGTAAATACGAAAGTTACTTATTAAACATAATAGCGATATGAAAAAATTGCAAACCACTATGAGGAGCTCTTTACAAGAGAAGTAAATATCGGTATGCCACGCTTTGTTCCTTAATTTTCAGCTATTGATCAATATCACTTGTAGTACCTAAATGTTTTTCTAGAGTATATTTGGAAAAGTGAAGAACCTGTGCAGCTGAAACAGGGTCTATCCTCTTCTTTGCCCTCTTTCCAACTTAACAACGTCTCCACAACGTACTGTACTAGCAAGACAAACACTGGCGCTTACTCCTGCCTTAGGACAATATTGCTACTAAAACGACAGTTCAGGTGGGTTCCTAATTTCCTAAAAACATTTTCAGCGTGCGAGATAAATCTTACTTTTGCACTCATATCTTGTGTGTTCAGCTACTACCTCCTCCAGCTGTATATTCCTTCATGCATGCTTGTGATCGTATCCTGGGTATCATTCTGGATTGATAGAACGGCAGTACCAGCAAGGGTAACACTAGGAGTGACCACACTGCTTACTATGACAACACAAGTAAGCTCCATCGCGCAGGTGTTCAACAGAAACTTTGTCAAAGCATTGGATGCAGTATGGAATGCACCTTCTAATCGAATACGCTATAGATTCATCCAATTATAAACGTTATTTAGTAAATGCAGGTTCGATTAGATTTATGTTCAAATTATAAAAACTGCTGCATGCGACATTGCTTGCATTTAGCTCGCTAATTGCAAACAATCTGCATCTGGCTCTCCCTTCTTCGTTCTTTTATTCTATTCTTACCAGCTCTTCGTTATCCTTGTTGCAACAGCAGAAGAAACGGTGTGGAAAAACTTCGTTGGACGCCGTACTTCTAGGGTGGCCTATCACTGTTTTTTCCAAAGAAACTTGTGAAGCAGTCACATTTTTCAGCAAGGAGAAAAGACTTGGAATAATGATATAAAACCTGCACGGACCATGGTAATATAGGTTTTAATAGAATACAATCCACGATAAATGCAGACTTTTCTTCCTTAGCACAGGTCTGCTTTTCAACTCATAAGCAAAATGGGTTTTGTTTTATCAAAGTCATTTTTCCTTTTTACATCCCTAGCCAGACCTCGGCGGCAGGTCTCCAGAAGGCAAGCTGGAACTCGCTTTTGTGAGCGAAAGGGAAACCATTATGACCGCTTTCCCCACAATAAAAGCATTGTAGCTCTCCTCTCCTCCCTAGCGCGGATATTCATGCATGTCTAAGTGTTTTTTGTCTCATTCAATACGTACGCACACAACCACCGTTCAGAAACCTGCTCCAGCAAAAGTTCAGTGTTCGTTTCAATGCGTTTGCGCGAGACTGAACGAACTTTCAAAAATTCAGATATTCAGATAAACCTTTTTCTATGCCAATATGCAGTGTATAGCCACCATGATGTAAAGATGCGCAACAAAGAGGTGTGTGGAAAATTTACGCAAATTTATGAGGATGAAAATATCGCCGTACGCTTTGTGATTTTTCCGACGGAGACCGAAGGGAGATTTCATGTCTAAGATTAGCAGACACTTTGGTTCTCACAAATTCCCTTTCCTTATATCAAATACTTTTTGTGTACTCCTTGATGCAACTTATAACAAATCCTCTCTGCTTTGTTAGGGCCCTAAATCTTTATCTTAATGAAAAAACGCGTTTCAAGTAAACAGTACTGCAGGGCTTGTCCTGCTTGCTCGCGTTTCTATAGGTTACAAAGGGGTTTCCTCGATTTTCAAGCGGGTATCGTAAGGTCAGTCAGAGACCTCGTGCCGAGGTCTTTCCATTGCAGCACTACAGATTTCTGGATCTTTATGTGCTGTTTTCTGATGAAATGGAATGGGGGGAAAACAACAAGCTTGGAAGAACGCCCTATAGAAATATTGCAAATTTTTTAAAGCCAAGTCCTGTTTGATGATTCTTCAAAGTTAAAAAACGTGTACCAACATAAAAAACAACGGCAACCTAAATTCAAATTCCAAAACTAGTGAAATCTTTGAAGGAGAGTTGTTGTAAAAAAA